AATAATAGGGGAGGTTTAGAATATTGTTTTAATTAAAGAGTTTAATAGGACTATGGTATTGATGTTATTATAAAATTTTTATTATAGTATCTTTTTTTATTATTTGGATTTATTGTCTAATTATGTACTTAATTATGTTGGATGTATTAGTTAGATAGAATGTACCAAGCAAAATCGGATTGGGTATTAGATATTATTTTAAAGATTAATTTGATTAACTTAGGGGGGAGATAGAAAGGCATCATACTCTGATTAATGATTTCAGGAGAAACTTATTTTCTTTTTTTTTTATAAGGAATGAGACAAAGGGATGATAAAAAATGGACAAAAGATATAAATATAATGATTCAAATTAAGATGATTAATTAAGATAGAAGTAAGAAGTGTGAAATATGTGGGGAAGTTAATATAGAAGGCTTAGAATGGTAAATAAAATAAGTAATGATATGTAAGATGAGCATGAATATAAATGAAGTCCATGAAGAGAGAGACACCTGGGTCCAAGTTACTTTCCAAAAAGATTTTTTTTTATGTTTTGTGTGTTGTGTGTATATGTCTTTTTGGGGGGAGAATTAGTTAAAAATTGTAGAAATATAGATTGAGAATAATGGTAACTAAGTCAGAAAGAAACAGATGAAATAATAACAATGATATTGAATAAGAGTAAAGAGAAGTAAAGAGAAATTGAATAAGAGGTTTTGGTATGTTGTATGGAAATGGTTTAAAACAGAATTATAATTTATCTGACTTGTTAAATTGACAATGAAAAAAGGTTTAAACATGTAATGAATAATGACAATTTGTGTGTTTTAAAAATTAATAAAACTTGTTTAAAAAAAAAAAAAAAAAAAAAGAACAGAGCTGGCCTGCTGCTGGTTCGCACTGGTTCACACGAACCGGTAATAAAGATGCTGCACAGTTTGGTGAACCAGCAAACCCCACCACTGCTGGCCCCACCATTTTTGGGGGCTGCTTTTTGGCCAATTTTGGGGCCATTTTTCAGCTGTTTCCAGGCCGTTTGGGGGCTGCCAAAAAAACGGCCTGAAAAACAGCCCAAAAAAATAGGCCAAAAAGTGGGCAGGACCAGCCAGTGGTGGGCTTAGCCCCAACTAGCTGAATCCTACCTCTGCCTTTCAGGTGAGTGGCTGGGAGGCGGAGCAGGGCAGGATGAGTGACATCCCCCCACCCAGTCACATGACCAACCGCCCATGCATACCCAGCCAGAGAACCGGCAGTTAAGTTATTCCAAGCGCACCACTGGTTAAGACATGTGGACCACCTATCCATCTATCACTCCATCCATCCCTCTGTCTGTCTGTCTCTATCTATCTATCTCTCCATCTCTCCATCCATCCATCCATCCATCCATCCCTCTGTCTCTATCTATCTATCCCTCTGTCCCTCCGTCCGTCTGTATCTATTCATCCATCCATCCGTATCTATCTATCTATCTATCTATCTATCTATCTATCTATCTATCTATCTATCTATCTATCTCTCCATCTATCCCGCCCTCCCTCTGTCTCTATCTATCTATCTATCTATCTATCTATCTATCTATCTATCTATCTATCCCTCCCTTCGTCTGCCTGTATCTATCTACCGATCCATTCATCCATCCATATCTATCTATCTATCTATCTATCTATCTATCTATCTATCTATCTATCTATCTATCATCTATCTATCTCTCCATCTAACCATCCATCCATCCCTCTGTCTGTCTCTATCTCTCCATCCATCCTTCTGTCTGTATCTATCTATCTATCTATCTATCTATCTATCTATCTATCTATCTATCTATCTATCTATCTATCTCTCCATCCATCCATCCCTTTGTCTGTCTGTCTGTCTCTCTCTCTCTCTCTCTCTATCTATCCATCCATCCATCCCTCTGTCTGTATCTAACTATCTATCCCTCCCTCCCTCCATCTGTCTGTATCTATCTATAGGTCCATCCCTCCATCCATATCTATCTATCTATCTATCTATCTATCTATCTATCTATCTATCTATCTATCATCTATCTATCTATCTATCTATCTATCTATCTATCTATCTATCCATCCATCCATCCATCTATCTATCTCTCTCCATCTCTCCATCCCTCCCTCCCTCTGTCTGTCTGTATATATCTATCTCTCCATCCATCCATCCATCCATCCATCCATGTGTCTGTCTGTCCGTCCCTCCGTCCATCCATCCATCCATCCATCCATCCATCCGTGTCTGTGTCTGTCCGTCCTTCCGTCCGTCTGTCCATCCATCCATCCATCCATCCATCCATCCATCCATCCATCCATCCATCCATCAGTGTCTGTGTCTGTCCGTCCATCCATCCATCCATCCAGTTGTAGTCCACATGCCTTAACGTTACCCAGCTTAAGAAACACTGGCTGAGCAAGTGAATCATGGCTTAATATGCCCTACAATGGAGCGAGCTGTCATTGTGGGCTTTGGGTCAGAAATGGGGTGGGTGGAAGCGGGTGGAAGCTTTCTAAAAAAGCCATTGCCCTCCCCCTCCCAAATGTTGCAACACACTGTCCACCCATCCTCCACAGCGTCACCAACCCTTTCCTGGGCCTCTCCGGTGAATCGGAAGGCGTCCACAGTGAACCTCAGGGTCTCCGGGTGCAGCCGTGGGGCGAGAAAGGTGGACGAGACCCCTTCCTCCCGCCCATCGAGCAGGCATCTGCAGGAGAGGAGCTATCTCAGCCGACCACAGGCAAGACCCCCCTGTGTTTCATCCAACGTAATGAAACACAAACTTGTTTTACAAAGCAAAAACCTCTTTGAATGCAACAGTGGGAATGACATTCATTCCCAGCCAAAAATGGTTTCCTGAGATAAGCACCCCCCTTTGTGCTGTGCAATGCTGCCAAAATCAGAAGTATCCAAATTAATTATAACAGAAACCAACCGAAGCCCCAGAAAAAAAAAATGACCAGAGTACACAGAGCTTTGAGGAGGACTCAGAACCGATCGAACGACCTTGCTTCCTGCAAAGAGTTCGTCATCGAGGGCTGAGTTTTATCCCTTATGCGAGGAGCAATAACCTCCCAGCCTTACTCCTGAGTCACCACTTCTGCTTCAGCTGCTCTCACCTTCTGGCAGCTCTGTGCATGCGCACTGGGAACAGGATCCCCTGGCCCCTCTTCCTCGCTTCTCCCAGACTCCAGAGGCTCTGGAGGCAGCACCCCACTCCCAGATGGCCCCTGGACCAATCCCCGCATCAGATGCAGGACCCTTTTCCGAGTCCTCTCCAGTCTCCCGGCCTGGTCCCTGTTCTTCCCCACTGTCCAACTCTGCAGGCAGCCGATGCAGCCAGCGAACCACAACACCCCGGTTCCAGAAACTCATTGCTCTCACAGGATGGATAGATAGGACAGATAGAATTGACAGACAAACTGACAGACAAGACTAGATAGACTAGATAGATAGTCCAACAGACAAAGATTGGTGGATGGATGAAAGGATGGAGATAAATGGAGAAATGGATGGATGGATAGACAGACAGAGATTGATGGATGGATGGAGAGATAGAGAGACAGACAGAAAGACGGAGGGAGGGATGGGTAGATAGATAGATGGATAGATAGGTAGGTAGATAGTTGGTTCTGTGGTCTCCTCTGGAAAACCGATGGATGGATGGGTGGATGGATGGGGGAGATCATAGAGTCACTGGGCTAGAAGGGACCGTGGAGGTCTTTTAGCTGATGGGAAAAGTCCTTAGACCATTTTGGACAAATGGTAATATAGAGTTGATGATCTCTATAGGGTTTCCTGCCTTCAGCGAGAAGGCATCTTCTCCTATCCGTTTTTTTCCTGAAAACAGAGAGAGAGAGAGAGAGATAGAAAGATAGATGACAGAGAAAGAATTGATAGACGGATTAAACAAGGATGGATTGATGGATAGATAGATCGGACAGACAGAATTGATACAAAAACTGACAGACAAAACTAGACAGACTAGATAGACAGACAGACAGAGATGGCTGGATGGATGGAGAGATAGAGACAGACAGAGGGATGGATGGATGGATGGATGGATGGATGGATAGATAGATAGATAGATAGATAGATAGAGACAGACAGACAGACAGACAGACAGACAGATAGATAGATAGATAGATAGATAGATAGATAGATAGATAGATAGATAGACAGAGATAGATAGAGATAGAGATAGAGATAGATAGATAGATAGATAGATAGATAGATAGATAGATAGATAGATAGATAGAGAAAGATAGATAGATAGATAGATAGAGATAGACAGATAGATAGATAGAGATAGATAGATAGAGATAAATATATAGATATATAGATAGAGAGAGAGAGAGAGAGAGAGAGTAAGAGAGATAGATAGATAGAGATAGATAGATAGATAGATAGATAGATGAATAGAGATAGATAGAGATAGATCGATAGATAGATAGAGATAGATAGAAACAAAGAGATAGATCGATAGATAGATGAAAGATAGATATACAGACAGATAGGACAGATAGAATTGATACACAAACCGACAGCCAAACTACACAGATTAGACAGACAGACAGAAAGAGATTGCTGGATGGATGGAGAGATAGAGACAGACAGACAGAGGGATGGATGGATAGGTAGATAGATAGATAGATAGATAGATAGATAGATAGATAGATAGATAGATAGATAGATA